GTTAAAAAGTTTAAATACTGGGGGCTAAAGAGATGGCTCAGTGTTTAAGAACACTGGCTGCTCTTGTAGAGGACCTGGGTTTGATTCCTAGCACCCACATGGTGGCTAACAACTGTCCATAACTCCAGTTCCAGGGGATCTGATGCCATCTTCTGACCTCTGAAGGCATTTCATAACAAGAGTGCACTAACGTACATGCAGGTAATACACTCACACACATCTTGCAGAAGACCCAGGTTCAAATCCCAGCACCCACATGGCAGCTAACAACTGTCCATAACTCCAGTCCCAGGGGATCCGACAGCCTCTTCTGACCTCCATGGGCATTGCATGACATGGGTGCACTTACCTACATGCAGGCAATACACACATATACATAAAATAATAAAAAAAAATTTTAAGTAAAATATTTTTAAAAGTTTAGATACTACAGGGCTGGAAAGATGGCTCAGCAGTTAAGAACACTGGCTGTTCTTGCAGAAGACCTGGGTTCGAATCCCAGCACCCACATGGCAACTAACAACTGTCCATGACTCCAGTTCCAGGGCCTCTGACAGCCTCTTCTGTCCTCCGCAGGCATTGCACGACATGGGTGCACTTAACTTACATGCAGGCAATACACGCATACACATAAAATAAAAATAAATAAAATGTTTTTTAAAAGTTTAGATACTGGGCTGGGTGTGTTTTGCATACCTTTAAGCCCAGCACTCAGAGGCAGAGGCGGGCGGATCTCTGTGAGTTCAAGGCCAGCCTGGTCTATAGAGCGAGTTCCAGGACAGCTGGGGCTACAGGGAGACCCTATCTCAAAAAAAAAAAAAAAAAGTTTAGATACTGTGTTAGTGAAACTTTTGTCACTATAACCAAATACTGAGATAACTTACAAAGAGAAAAGCTTTATTTTTAGCTTATAGATTTGGAGATTTCAATCCATGTTGTTACCCCATGGAGTTCTACCACATCCCCATCATGCCATCCTAGGGACCAAGAGTTTATACACACATCTTTGGGAAACATTCAAGGTCCAAACGCAGTGAACTTTCTTTTAGAGATACATTCCTGCTTCTATAAAGACTTAATTTTGAATTTTTACTTTATTTATTTATTTATTTATTTATTTATTTATTTATTTATGTGCAAGTGTGTGTGTAGAGGTCAGAGGAAAACTTGCAAGAGTCAGTTTTCTCTTTCTACCATGTGTGTCCTGGTGAGCCAACTCAGGTTGGTGGCAAGCCTGACTCCTGTTATATTTCTTTGTGTTGAGAGTGAGAGCTTTCAATTAAAAAATCTTTTTTGTGTTAATATATTCATTAAAAAAATGACTCAAATGAATAAACCGAAATAAAAGCACCAGAGGACTGTATGCAGTGGCACACACTGTTATCACTCAGGAGGCAGAGGCAGGA